CTTTTAAAGACCATAATAAGACAAGGATAACGACAACCAGGAGGATGACGGGGTGGGTATTGAGAACCTTCAAAACAAGGGAAATAATACCAGTGGTGATACTTTTCAAGTAGCTACTGCACCCACATTTGGAATATTGCTCAGTGTTGACGGCCCCGTTCAAGACAGGAGATCGCATAGAACCAGTAAAGCATTTAAATTACAGGGAACACTTTAAAGTCTTGAATATGTAGTCACTGGAGCGGAGGGGAGAGAAATACATAATATATACCTAGAAGGTACTCGAGGGCCTGGTCCCAAATCTGCACACTGTCAAAACAACATACTGGAGCGAGAGTTATGGGAGGAAGTGTAAGATAAAGCCAGTGAAGAGTAGGGGTGCGGTGTATCAACATCTGGGGTCCCAGACTATTTGACATCTTAATAAGAGAAGATATCAGGAACACTGCTAGAACAGGTGTAAAAGTTTTCATGAGAAAACTGGACAAGTATCTTTACCAGGTGCCAGATCAACCGGGCTGTGATGGATATATGGGGCTGCGGGCCTCCAGCAGCAACAGCCTGGTTGACCAGGCTAGCACCAGACGAGCCTGGCCCATGACCAAGCTCCGGGAGTGGAAAAACTTGCGAAACTCATCCAAGTTATCCCGCGTCGCTCGTCCCTATCCCGCATCGCTGGTCCCTACCCCTCATCATTCCTCACTCCGAGGGAACTCGACATGTTCTTCAAATGAGTTTTCACCAGCCGGGCTGTGGTCCATACGTTGGACTGCGTGCGGCCAGCAGCAACAACCAGGTTGATCAGACCTTGATCTTTCGGGAGGCCTGGTCTGGGACCGGGCCGCGAGGTCGTTGTCCTCTGGAAACGTCCTTCAGGCACATATCACACCCTTATAAGGATATTTTGGACCAATCCCTCCAACATTATACAGATGTAATTTTTTTTCATCGAACCTACCCTAAAAAAATAAGAAACACCCTTACCATCATTCACTCCTTCACTCCAGGTGTAAAATATGAGGTTTTTATCCGTTCGCTCCAGGGAGTAAGTACAGATGAGTAACTTTGGGAATTTACAATAATTTAAATGCTAGCATTAATGCAGTTAAGGATCTCGACATTATTTAGGTCAGTAATTTTGTAGGTTTGAAGTGGGGCTGTTAGTAGGTAATGGAATTAGTGTGGATGGAGGGTGAAGTATTGTGAAGCAATGTCTAAGTATAGTGAGGACTTCACTGTGTTGTGGCGTCAACAGGATGTTTTACGATAACACCGAACTTAACACTCAACGTGCTGTTGCTGCCGCCGGCCCCAGGTTGACATTATTACAACTACTACGTGCACACCACTACACTACCTTCTTCCACATCTATCGCCACATTAATCACTGAACCATGGACACAGCGTGTCCATGGTTCAGTCCCCATTACGAGTGGAAACATTTGGCGTGTTTCCGTGTACCTGCTGTCTCTGTTCACCTAGCAGCAAGTAGGTGCTTGGGCGTTAGCCGACTGTTGTGGGTCGCATCCTGGGGACAGTATTAACCTAAGTTGCCCAAAAGGCTCTGCATAACCAGGAGCTTTCTATGTAGTATGTCACTGATGTCGGCTAGTTCTGTATAAGATGTATGATGTACTTGTAGAAATAGATTATTATTATTCCATTTTGAATCTGTGGCCATGCACAAAAAAATAGTTTTTCTTATTTCTCGGCTAATTAATCAAGAATTCTTGGTCATGGTTTAAGCCACCCCAGTAATTGAAGAGGACCCAACAAAAACCCATGAAACAAACCCAGGGGGAAGTGGGGGGGGGGAACTGGGGCTTTACCCTTCCCCAGGAAAAATCTCCCAAAATCAACTGCTGCCAATTTGAGGCCTATTTCATGCCACTTCCACTCTTAAACCGACCAAAAATCTTCAGTTTTCTAAGTATGGCTTTATTTACAAGAAACTACCAATAAAAACATAACCATCCTAGAGAATTCCCCGAAGTCACATTTTACCCCAAACAGTCGGGTTCCCATCATGCACTATGAATCTAGATTTTTTTTTATTGTACTGGGCATGCTCACTGCACAGACCCATTCTCTCGTGTTTAGGCCAAAATTTGCGACTCCAACAAATTTGAGGCACTAAATTGTGTACTAGTATGTTGTGGATTGTGTTTGCTATGACAGCTTAGGGGATAACATTAGGTATTGTATTGCATTCGTAAATTAGCAGCTTGCATTAATGGTGGAGCAGCCATGATATATTGTCAGCATAGAGCATTGCAGTGGTGCAGCCATAGTAATGCCAGCATAAGGGCATTACATTGATGAAATGTAGGTAAAGGTTGTCAATAAAGAAAATGTGACAGTGTGTTAGATCAACCAGGTTGTGATGACTACATAGATCTTCAGGGCACTGGTTGATCAGGCAGTCAGTTGACGTAATAATCTTGGGTCTAGTCAGGCGGTGAGGGTAAAACCTTGAAACCAGTCACAGGTTTGTCAAAGTTTGTCGTTGTGCCAGTTACAGTGGTTACCTGGAGGTTATTCTGGGGATCAACGCCCCCGCAGCCCGGTCCATGACCAGGCCTCCCGATGGATCAGGGCCTGATCAACTAGGCTGTTACTGCTGGCCGCACACAGTCCAATGTACGAGCCACAGCCCGGCTGATCCGGCATTGACTTTAGGTATCTGTCCAGCTCTCTCTTGAAGGCAGCCAGGGGCTTATTGGCAATTCCCCTAATGCTTGATGGGAGGCTGTTGAACAGTTTTGGGCCCCGGACACTTATGGTGTTTTCCCTTAGTGTACCAATGGCGCCCCTACTTTTTATTGGGGGCATTTTGCATCGCCTGCCCAGTCTTTTACTTTTGTAGGGAGTGATTTCTGTGTGCAGATTTGGGACCATTCCTTCCAAGATTTTCCAAGTGTAGATTATGATATATCTCTCCCTCCTGCGTTCCAACGAGTACAAGTCAAGTGCTTCCAAGCGTTCCCAGTAGTTAAGGTGCTTGACAGAACTTATACGTGCAGTAAAGGATCTCTGTACACTCTCTAGATCTGCGATTTCACCTGCTTTGAATGGAGATGTTAATGTACAGCAGTATTCCAGCCTAGAGAGAACAAGTGATTTGAAAAGGATCATCATTGGCTTGGCATCTCTCGTTTTGAAAGTTCTCATTATCCATCCTATCATTTTCTTTGCACGTGCAATCGTGGCACTGTTGTGATCCTTGAAAGTGAGATCCTCAGACATTACTACGCCCAGGTCCCTTACATTATTTTTTCCCCTCTATTGTATGGCCGGAGTCAGTAGTATACTCTGTTCTAGTTATTATCTCCTCCAGTTTTCCATAACGGAGTAGTTGGAATTTGTCCTCATTGAACATGTAAGAGTTTTGTAAGACTTGTCAATATAATGCAGTTTCTTGCAAATGCAATTGACAATGCATTCAGAATTGAATGTCAATATAATGCAGTTTCTTGCAAATGCAATTGACAATGCATTCAGAATTGAATATCACATACAATGGAGGTTTTTTACCATACTTGCAATTCAATTTAGGATGTTCTGCATTTTTTCAGTTGCATTTAAAAGAAATTGCAATGTATATATAGATGAGCTGACTGTATTAAGTGGGCATATTTTAAATATTTTGTTACACATATAGCACTGAAAGGCTCCTCGCCTACTAACCTATACAGTCCTTTCCCTTGACTAATAAACTTATTCAAGAAATATGGTTACGTTAGGTCACCATTGTCTTAAAACTTATCTTTTTTCTTGTTGGTCAAGTGTTGTGTGAATGACATACAGTGGAACCTCAAAAATCGAACTTAATCCGTTCCAGGAGCTAGTTCTAAATTCGAAAAGTCTGAAATTCGAAACAATATTTCCCATAAGAAATAATGGAAATACAATCAATCCGTTCCAGAAACCCAAAAATATTCACACAAAAAATACATTTTATAGAGATTAATTACAGTTTTACATACAACAAATACTATAGTTTTTAATTATGTATAGTAATACATATAAAATAACATTTTTACTTACCTTTATTGAAGATTAGTGATGGCATCTGGAAGACAGGGAGGAGGAGAGAGGGAGTTGGGGTTAGTGTTTGGAAGGAGAATCCCGCTCCATGAGGACTTCAGGTAAAGCCCTCTCTGGGGTTACTTCCCTTCTCTGTCTTTTAATGCCATTAGGACCAGCTTGAGAGTCACTGTCTCACAAAATAACTGTCCACAGTCCTCTGTTTCTGGTGCCTCTTTAACATTTCCCTAAAATGGGACATGGTTCTGTCACTGAACTTGTTGCAAAGATGGCTTGTTTCAGCTTGCTCAGGGTGGTACTTCTGCACAAACATTTGGACATCATTCCACTTGGCACAAATCTCCTTAATCTTTGAAGAAGGCACCTCATCCACTCCCTATATTAACACCTTTCACATCATCAGCTTCCTTGATTTGTTCTTTCTTTGACAGGATAGAACCGATGGTCGACTTGTTTTTCCCATACATCCTGGCAAGCTCAACAAGTCTCTCACCACTCTCATACTTCTGTATAATTTCCTTCTTCACATCTATGGTGTTTCTCACTTTCTTTACCACAGGGGTACCACTAGCAAGTTTCTTTGGGCCCATGGCAGCTTATTTCACAGTCCCACAAGCACTAAACACAACGAAATAATCGCAAAATGCGTGAATGAGAGCGCAGGTTAGTGTTTACTCAAGCATAAACAAAGCTAGACTGCTCACAGCGCGGGGACGTGGACAGAGTGGGCGGCAGACAGGTCCCATACCCAGCGGTCTGAAAATAGGGACACAGTTTGTCCAAAAAAATGGTCCTATTTTCGAAACGTTCAATACGTGATACGTTCGATTTTTGAGGTTCCACTGTACATTAAAATTTATTTTGTTTTTGAACTACAGTATTTGATGCAAATTAATTATTGTTTATTTCTAAAGTTGCATGAAATATATTTAAGAGTAATGCTTTCATCGCAGGCCTCCACAATTGATGGCCGCCGGAAAGGAGCATGTCTGTTCTGTCAAGAATACTTCATGGACCTCTACCTTCTGGCCGAGCTCAAGACAATCTCTCTCAAAGTTACCACAGTGGATATGCTCAAGCCACCACCAGATTTCAGGTAGGTTTGTTTTAACCTTATATGATTTGCCTTACCTGTAACAGGTGCCAGGCCAGTCTGGTTATGATGCCAGTGGCTGCTTGTCAAATTAGCCATCAGCAGCCTAGTTGATCAGGCAGCCAGCAGTGAAATAACTAATGAAACTAGGATTTCACAGATATGAGTATCTATGATACAGTGACTTGGCTATCTGTTGTCTACCCATTGTTTATTGCAGGAGTCATAGTCCCCATGGTGCAGTCCCAGACCAGGCATCCTCCATGGGTGATAGCCTGATCAGTCAAACTGTTGGTATTAGCAACATTTAGTCCATCATAAACAATATAACCAGGCTGATCATTAACTGACTTGAGGATCTTGTCTAGTGCTTTCTTGAAGACAGTAGGGATCTCTTGGTAATTTCGCTTAAGTGTGTAGGGAGGGTGTTGAAAAATCTTGTTTCTTTGTACAGTGGAACCACGGTTGTTGAACTTAATTCGTTCCAGACGTCAGTTTGACAACCAAAGTAATTTTTCCCAAAAAAGAATAACATAAATAGAATTAATCCATTCCAGACCTCTGAGACGGCGATTGCGCCAAGAGGTTATTGGGTGTTTCCGGCCGGCCGGCATCTGGGCCTCCGGCATGTACCGGAGATGTTCCATTCAGTTGCCAAATGACAATATAATAATTTATTAATAAAGCAATGTATAAAATTATACAGCACCGGGAAACCATAAAAATGAATACTAAATGAAAATTTAACTGAAATACTGGACAGTAAATCTTGCTGCTTCAAATCTTGTGGGAGAAAGCTGGTAGGCCTCTATGTGAGAGAATGGGTCTGCATGGTTAGTGTGTGCAGTATAAAAAAAATCCTGCAGCATGCAGTGCATAATGAGAAAAAACTGTGACCATGTATTTGGTTTAAAACTGACTTTGTGGTGTATTTTCACATGGTATATATAGTTGCATTTTAGTTTTCTTGGTATCATTTGATAGAATGGAAGATATATTATACAGAAATAGACATGATTTTGAATGGTTTACAGACTAAAAGTAGCTGAAAATTGAGCTCAAAGTAGCAGAAGTGTTCTAGTTTTGCTGATGTTAGAGTAAACAACTTGTCACGCATGCATTCACGAATGCACTGATATTACTTATACAGTTATGCAGTAGTGTGAATAACAGTAAATCTTCTATTTTTTGTGTGAATAAAAATTCAAAATGAAAAGCAAGCGTAATGTAAGAGGGGCATGGAGACATGACTACTCAACAGAGAAAATGTTATTTTAGTGCCAAGAATATCTGCATTGTTTATTCTGGACCCTATTTTGAAATATGCCTTTCTTGAAATATTGTGTGATTTGGCCAAATTAGCACAGTGGTACCTCGAGTTACGAACTTAATTCGTTCCAGAAGGCTGTTCAAGTTCCAATACCAAACGAATTTGTTCCCATAAGGAATAATGTAAATTAGGTTAGTCCGTTTCAGACCCCAAAAATACACTTATATAATTGTTCGAGCTGGGAGCTGTTCGAAACTCGAGGTACCACTGTAATTTCGGATCACTTTATTGGGTAGTTGAAGTAGGTAAATGAACAGTTTCCTGTACTCAGTCGATAGAATGAAAGGAGTTCTAGCGAAATAGCTATGAGTTTGGTCGACTGGAATAATGGAATTGGCCCAGAATTGAGCAAAATTGCACATGCATAAATATTGCCAAGACTGCTAACTTCACGATTGCGTAATTCCGCAAGTTTTTCATTAAATTTTGTACTTTTGGTTTCATTACCTTCTGTCATTTCATAAGAATTTTTTTTTTTTTTAATTCTCCAACCTTGGGAGCATTGTCGATCGACAACCAAGAGCACGTATGAAAACCAGGACTTTTTTCTCGAATCTTCTGGTAAGATGTTGAATAGTCTGGGAACCCGGATATTGATACAGTGTTCCCTTATTGTCCCCACCGCACCCCTGCTCCTCGCTGGGTTTATTTTACACTTCCTCCCATATCTCTCACTCCAGTATGTTATGGTTTGAACATGTACTCATTGGAGTGGAGGAGAGAGAGAGATACATGATAATGTATACCTGGAAAGTACTTGAGGGCCTGGTCCCAAATCTGCACACTGCCGTAACAAGATACTGGAGGAAGTGTATAATAAACCCAGTGAGGAGCTGGGGTGTGGTGGGGACAATAAGGGAGCACTGTGTCAACATCCGGTGTCCCAGACTATTCAACATCTTACCAGAAGATGTGAGAAACACGGCTGGAACAGGTGTAGAAGCCTTCAAGAGGAAACTGGACAAGTATCTTCACCAGGTGCCAGATCAACCAGGCTGTGATGGATATGTGGGGCAGTGGGCCTCAAGCAGCAACAGCCTGGTTGACCAGGCAAGCACCAGATGAGCCTGGCCCATGGCCATGCTCCAAGAATAGTTAAACTCTTGAAACTCTTCAAAGGTATATCAAAGGTAAAGGTATGCCATGCAGAATAATATATAATTATAAATTTAAATTCAAAAGAGAACTTTGACATTTTTTGCTACTTCCTACCAGGTAGATCTCCATAGCCTGTACCTACTGTATTTTGTTGTATATATGATCTTAACTGGCAGATACTGTACTGTAATTTATTGCTGGTAGATAGTTTGCACATACATATTTACTTGTCAGAAGTACTCTGGAATCATAAGTTTTAAATAGTGAATTGAGGAAAAATTTGGAACTCAATTTCTTGGCAGGGAATTTTATAATTTTGTTCTGATTTATCTCTAATCTTTAGCCTAATAATGTATACTCTTATCATATTCAGCTTATTTCAAAGTCAAGCCCCTATGTAAAAAGTATACTAACACCCACCTGGGATGCCACTCACAACAGTCGACCAACCCCCAGGTGTCTGCGTACTGGTACATTAGATGAACAGGAGCAGCAGGTGTAAGGAAACATGCCTGTTTCCACCCATACTGGAGTTTGATCCATGGGCACTCATAGTGAGAGCTGAGGGTGCTACCAACTGAGCTACTCTATTGGTATTAAAACATCTACATGCAGGTTTACAGTCACATAATATACCCAGGATCTTGGTAATTTTTTCTTAATGTTTTTAGCTATATAAAATTGTATTTTCCAGGTCAAATTTTGAAGCAACTCCTCCACCCATCTTGATCGACAATGGACTGGCTGTCCTGGAAAATGACAAGATTGAGAGACACATCATGAAAAACATACCCGGTGGCCACAACCTTTTCGTACAGGACAAAGATGTTGCTCAGCGAACAGAGAATGTTTATAGTGTAAGTTAAATATCTTTTGTGCTGTTGATGTAGATTTTAACCCTTTCAGGATTTCCGAAGTACACTAGTAGTACGGCTTACGCACCAGGGTTATTGACGTACTAGTGCGCGTAAATTCTAGCGCCTTCAAATCTAGCATGAGAAAGCTGGTAGGCCTACATATGAAAGAATGGGTTTATGTGGTCACTGCACAGTATAAAAAAATCTTGCAGCATGCAGTGCATAATGAGAAAAAAAAAACTGTTTTTGGTTTAAAACAACAACTTTGCACTGTATTTTCATATGGTATTTATGGTTGTATTCTAATTTTCCTGGTCTCATTTTATAGAATGGAAGACATATTACAGAAATTGAATGATTTTGATTGGTTTTACAATGAAAAGTACTTTGAAATTGAGCTCAAAGTAGCAGAAATGTTCGATTTTTGCCAAAGTTCAAAAGTAAACAAATCATGCCACGCGTCCAATACACGTCAACTGGTGAGTCTAATATTCTTTCACAAGTGCACTGATATTATTTGTACCATTTCTACATTAATGCAGTAGTCTGCATAACAGTAAATCATCTAGGTTTTAGTGAGAATAAAAATTCAAAGTGGAAAGCAGAAGAAATGTAAGAGGGGCCTGGGATTGTGACTAATGAACAGAGGAAATGTTATTTTAGTGCCAGGAATGTCTGTCTTGTTTATTCTGGACCCTATTTGGAAATTGTCATATTTTGAAATTTGTGTGAAATTGGCAAAATTGCTAATTTCTGACCGCTTTATTGGATAGTTGAAATTGGTAAATGGGTGGTTTCTTTTACTCATTCGATAGAAAAAAAATGGAGTTCGAGCAAAAGTTATGTTTTTTGTCGACTAGTACACTGGAATTGGCCGAAAATAGGGCTCAAAGTGGGCGAAATCGCCAATGTGTAAACATCATCGAGACCGCTAACTTCGCGAGAGCATAATTCTGTAAGTTTTCCATCAAATTTCATACTTTGTGTCATTATGATCGGGAAAAGATTCTCTATCTTTAAATAAGATTTTTTTTTTTTCCCGAAAAATTTTCAACCCTGAGAAAAAGTTTAGGAGAGGGCCTCTCGACCCTGAAAGGGTTAAATAATGAACTTTGATTTTCAAGACAGTGGGTTATTACAGTGTCATTATTAAAAGTGACATATTCTCTGGCCATTACAAAGTTACTTAGAATTTTAAAGTCTACTTATCTGGTTGTAATGTAATGACACTGAATTGTTATGCACAAGTTTCAAAGCATGGAGTCATCTGATGATAAGTCCAAGGTGTCCAATGGAAACCTGAAATGTGTAGATCCTATTCTTGGGGCATCTGAAAATATAGCCATACTAGGAATAACCAGGGTGAACATGCACGTACAGTCATCACAGAAAAAAAATGTTGAAATCTCCAGGTATGTGCTGCTTCAAGTCCTGCAAGCTTTTTCATCCAAAAGTGTGCCATAGTTCGGTAAATGAAGGGCAGTGCTGTGATCTAAATTGTCTGGACCACCACAAGAAGGTTAAGTGATATATAAAGCCTCATGAAAACCAGTATGAACATGCTGATTATAATCATATAACAGACAGTTGTTTTCTTCTTCTTTTCTTCTTTCTTTTCTTCTTTCTTCTTCTTTCTTCTTCTTTCTTCTTCTTTCTTCTTCTTCTTTCTTCTTTCTTCTTCTTTCTTCTTCTTTCTTCTTTCTTCTTCTTTCTTCTTTCTTTCTTTCTTCTTTCTTTCTTCTTCTTCTAAGAAATGTTAGCATATAACACTTGGGAGCCCATCTTCACTGGAATCAAAGCCAGTGGGAGTCTTGTCAGAGCAATATAGACAAAGTTCAACCAACAAGCTACCCAGCACAGCAACTTATCAATGTATCATCTCATGTTTGCAGATGTATGAAGTCTCGCAGTGTAAACAAATTTCCATTTATTGGTGGTCTTCTCACAATCAAATGCAGTGTTTGCAGCTTACACAGAGACCTACCTAAAGGGGCTGTTTTGATAATGAAATATGGATTCTGGTGTACAGCCTATTTAGATGCAACTTGAAAAATCACCAACAAGGCAAAGAGGGTTGGCCTGTGTGTTAGTTATTCATGTACACTGAGTTCCTCAACACACATGATTTAGTCAGATTAAAAAACCAGAACCTAATTATTGGGCTTGTTTGTAAGCCACTGGATATATCCCTAGCATCACCAATACCAGTGATGCTAGCAGTGGTGGTATCAGCTCCAGACCCACTTGTATCAGCACCAGTTTCAGTACTGGGAGTCAGAATGTACTTGCCTTGAACATAGTTCACCCCAGTGATGCCACTAAAGGCACCACAGCCCGGCTGATAGCAGGTAACTTGAGGAACTTATCTATTTCCCTTTTGAAGATAATTGGGGTATGTTGATAATTTCCTTCAAGGTAGAAACCTTGGCAAAGAAATCAGTTTAATTACACGTAGATAGTGATTAATGTCGGTCATGCTAATAGTGAGGAAGATTATGGAGAAAATGGGCATAAGTAGGATGTGAGATGCTTTTATTCTTGATCCAGCCTATTTCAAAACAAATTATACATTAAATTAAAAGTAGGTTTTTAATTTTTCATCCCATATCCGGGATCCAGCGCAATCATTATCTTGTTACATACTGTAGTTTATTTTAACACTGAAAATTTCCTACCAAATAAGTTGACTCAAAGAAAGCATATTCACAATTCCAACTTCTTTAGCAATCTTTCCAGAGGTGCATGGTATCAATTAAAATAATTTGAAATAATTAGCTGAATTGCAATATTGTCATCATTTGGAATTCAGCATTATATCTTCCTCCCTTTCCTCCTGAATCAGTCTTGACCACTTGGTTTTCTCCTGAAACCTTTCATAGATATTACTTGGCTCACACATCATAACATATTAAATCACAGTAACCATTTGTTTCTGCTTATTCAGATCTAGCTCACTCACACTTGCCTGCTGGTTGCATAAGTCACTACCTTGCAAAACCTTTGCTTCCTCCAACCCTTCCTAGAATGTCCCTTGTACCTTCCTCCCTGCCTACCAGATATGTATGTCCTTTTGATCAACCTTCTTTGCTGTTTCTTTTCTAAATGTCCAAACCCACTCAACAGCCCTTCCTCAGCTCCCTAAATTATATGGTTCATACCATCACACTGCCTTTAAATTTCTATCCTCCTCACTTTTGCATGATATTCATGCCACAGATTGATCTTGAAACATGTCATCTCCAATGCTTCCAGCCTTCTTTTCATTGCACCATTCAAAGACTGTCTCGTACTTACACATTGCTGAGATTCTTATACGTGTAATTTAATACATATCTAATTCTTCATTAATTAATGTGTTAGGGTATACTTCCACAAGAGAAAGAAAATTTAAGTTTAGAAGAGATATGAGATTGCATTAGTCTAGTAATAAATACCTCAAAGCAGTGGTAGAGCATTACTCTCCAGGTTCTATTCCTTGTGAGGGGAAATGTTTGGGCAATTCTTCCAACACAAACTCGAAAATAGACTCGTATCTATTCAGTAGTGTGTTTCATATACGAGAATTTGTGGTGATATCAGAAAATTTCACATTCAAGGATTACAACAATGCTACTGTTGCTACCACAAAGAAGATAATAGGCTGGATAACCAGAACTTGGAAGACAAGATGCTGAGTCACTTAATCTCTCCAGGTTAGAATGCTGCTTTATATTAATGGCAGGTGAGATTCTTGAGCTAGAAAACAGAGAATTTTAACTGTCCATAATTCATTCAAAATATTTGAACTACTGGAAACACTTGATGCCTCACCATCTGCATTCTTTGGGATGTAGGCAAGAAAGGTACATCATCATTTGCACCTGGAATATTCCTGGGGAACTGGTCACAAACCTGCACACCAAAACCACTCTATAATAAAGGAAGAGACTTGGCAAACAGTGCAAAGTACCTCCAATAAAATTAGGGGCACAACAAATACGCTTTTGAACTCGTGTCAGAAGTTTTATTTTCAACCCCTCTTTCATGCTTAAGGGGGATACCAACAAGCCTCTGGCAATTTAAAGAGGAACTTAACTAATCCTTAATTAGTTCCTGACGTTGGGGTGTTTCATAATTTTTGATGGGGCCCAGCATAACCCCTAGTTGATCAGGCCTTGCCCACCAGAAGGGGGGTCATGGCCCAAGTTTGTGGGGCATTGCCCCCTGGAACCCCCCTCCGGTAGTGTACCAAAGAAAATTAGCCACTCAATTTCTCGGGTTATTTTGGTTATTAAATTGTCCAGGATTACAAACCCAGAGACATCTAGATTTGCAGTGAATGGGCGGGCTTTGGGAGCATCATTAAGGAAGTTTCTGGGAAATTTTAAAAACAGGTTGAAGTTCCAAGTATCTAAGGGGCCCAGGCTACCGATCTGAAAACTTGCCCACTGGGCCCAAAATTTTTTTAAAAAAAATTTTTTTTATTTTTTTATGAAATGGTAGAGAACTTTTTAAAGGTTAAAAAAACAAAAAGTATAAAATTTTGATGGAAAAAACTAACGAAATTTGCTATTGCGAATTTTGTGCATCAGGATATTGATGCTTTGGCTTTTTCCCCAATTTGAGCCTTTTTAGGCTAGTTAATTGCTCTAGTCAATCGGGTTCTTGCTATTTCGTAGTTTTCCCTTCTATTTTATCGACTGAGCACGAGAAAGCTAATAATTTTTTCAAACTGCACATAAAGTGATCAAAAAATTGGAAATTTAGCCAATTTCACACAAATTTAAAAAAAGGCCCGAATAAACATGCAGGCATTCCTGGCACTATAATATTTCCCTCTTTTTATTAGTTATGTTTCTAGGTTTTACATTGTTTTCATTTGATTGTTTTTTTTTTTCACACAAAGAATTTTTTTCACATCAAAAATAAAAGATTTTTCTTATGCACATTGTAATAATTGTAAAAATAATACGCGCATTCTTAAACCCAGCAAAAATCGAACTTTTCCCGCTACTTTGAGCTCAATTTAAAAGTTTTTTCGTCCT